GTCACTCATTATAATTTTATTAAATTTCATCACAAGTATGGATAGACCTGTACTTGTCCATGCTTCAAGCCCAATGGGCTTTCACATGAAAGGACATGTTAGAGAATAAAAACCTATTCACCAAGCTCACCTAACAGCTTAAGCTTTTTAGATTGAATGGTTCCTTGGTATTGCCATCCTGGATATCCAGGGTTTTAGTATGAAATAGAATGGATACAAATCCGACCCAATTTTATTTATTTATTTATTTTGCACAAAATGGCTGCTCTCAAACTACTCAAACCTGGGTTACAGTGTTAAATATCTTGAGAAATAAAACAGAAAAGGAAAAAGGAAAAAAGAAAAGCATTGAGTTTAAATCATGAAAATTTGCAAGTGAAAATTTCAGGATTATGGCTTCAGCAATGGCTGCTATAACAGCTAATGAGGGTGTTAAAATGATTTAAGCCATAGATCACTCCTATAAAAAAACAGTCAACCAAGAGTAATGTACTAATATATCCTCTAAATCAATGAGAAACTTTTGGTAAAATATCCGATAAAGCAACCAGTCAACCAAGAGTTAGGCTTCGGTTTTAGGCTTCTAATTCGTCAGGGAGCTTCTAGCAAGTATTGGGCAGGTGAAGTTTAAGCTGGAGTAGTTGAAGAATGAGTAAACTTAGGGGGTATTCTTTTTCTGGATTTCGAGAGGGGGAAAGTTGGCTAAAGGGATTTTGATTCCCATTGATAAAAAATCTCATGTTCTTTTTTCAGATTTAAGTGGGGACCAGGGAAAGTTTATTTACCTGAGTATCACTTATCCATCTCTTAGGTGGGTAAATAACTTTCCCACCTTGGGGGAAAGTTGTCAACACTTAAATGGGACAAAAATACTCCTTGTAATAATGTATTTTTATGGATAAAATGGTCATTGTCTTATTTGCATGGAAAATGAAAGAACATGGGTAAATGTACTTACCCAAATAAATAACTTACCAAAAAACAAATGAGGCCTTGGAGTAAAAATTCATTAAATGTCTAAGTTTAACAAAAGGAAAACTCTTAAGATGCTTGAATTGAATTAAGCTCAAAATAAGCAGGAATTAATCTTATAAAACGTTTACTAAGGTGCCAAATCTATGACTGTAATGGATGATGATGATGATGATGTCAACCATCCGATGCACTGGGTTAGGTTGGGTGACATTATCATCGCTACTTAAATTTATTATATTAGATCCTCAATCTATGTATGTCATCTGGTGTGGCCCATTGAGTAAGAAATTAGTAAGACCAAGCCCATGAAGCGAAAAACAGGGCCCACATCAAGAACCATTTTTTTATATCATTTCTTATTACTTTAAGATGGCATCTTCCTTATCTTTGGTGCATGGGTGACAGTGACTCAGTAAGTTTATTTGAAAGGATTTAGCTTAATAGAATAGCTGCTCAACGGGGAACCAATGGCAAAACTCCGTGCCACTAATAAAATGCATGGAATTCACAAATATTTAACTTTTTATTATGGGCCCCATTTATTTTATGCGTGGGCATTATCATTAAAGTTACATTTGGTTTGATAATAATAAGCATGGTTTCGGGCAGTCGAATCATTCAAACAGTTCGAACTGTCAAACGGTTTTGGCCATTTTTAATTTTTTGTTAGAACGGGTATTTGTTCGGTTCAAATGTTTGGTTCATCGTCCGATTGGGTTTTAAAAACCTTGATAATAAGTGATAAAATTTTAGCTGTTTCACTGTTTGGGAGTATTATACATTACATGACACGTTATCATAGGTTTGGGGTAAAATAGTATTTCCAACCAATATTCCTTAGAGAGCACTATTCACACCAACCTCACAGCCACATCTATTATGTTTTGGGAACACCTCCAATGAATAGTAACATATATGTATGGAAGATGTTCCTGATGTGCGGCTAGGATATGCTATGAGGTCAGTGTGAGGAGTAGATTTGGACTTTATTCTTTTGGTCAAAGATGAGCAAAGAACTGAGTGGGGTAACGAGTTCACATCTCCTCCCCACATGGGGCTGCCCCGCAATGCCCCACAGCACATCTTCGCCGTGTATTGGGAACATCTTCTGATGATAGTACCAAAACTGATGATGTCATCACCGGGAGATGTTCTCAATTCACAACGGGAATGTGCTGTGGGCGGCCCATTGTGAGGAGATGTGAATTCTGGGGTAATGTGTCTTGCACAGGAAGCTTCCAGACGGCAAAACTTTTTGTGGAAAATAATAAAAAAAAAACTGAAAGTTGAGAAATTATTTGAGGAATTTCACAAAACAAAGCCTAAGGGAGCGTTTGGTTTACTAAAAGCCTACATAAATGAATTCGGATTAGCTGAACACTTTGGCTGTTCAGCAGGCAGGCTGTGGAACCAATGATGAGGTTTCATGTCAGTAATAAATTCATGGGCCCTACTATAAAAGGTGTGGGCCCCATGTATCTTATTACTAGCATGAACAGCCTGCTGAACAGCCAAAGCATTCAACTAAACCTTGCTCTATATAAATATGCATGACGAGTCCAACCAAGCTGCCACAATGCATAGTGGTGGTAGTAAAGATTTTTTGTCTACTTCTTTGTGCTCAAGTTCACTTGCCAACAAATAGAGCAATTTTCATCTAATTGAATTTTTAATGACAATGAAAAAAACCCAATTTATTTCATGCCTAACAATTAACTAATCCTTGTAAAGGGAAAAAAATGTTTAGGTTGTGTTTGGTTGCAGTTTTGGATTTTACTTTATTCTGCTTCATGCCTTAAATTATTTCATTTGTACTGCAATCAAACAAAATAAACTAAAATAGCTCAAAATGTACACTAAAATCATTTGCACTGTCATGATTTTACATCAGTACAAATTTATTTGCATTGCAACCAAATATAGCCTTAGGTTGTGCAATTAAGGGAGGCAAATGAATGGGCTGCATTGGGTTGGAGGCCAACCCATGCGGATGCACATCCATTTGTAACCCACATTTCTCTTATGTATGGGTTGCAACCCAACCTAATCCATTCATGTCAATCCATTTAAATATGTAAAATTATGAAACCAATTTTTGTTGAGAAAAAAAACTAAAAGGCGTTAGATTTCTCTTATAGTGATACATGTCTTTGCGACTTTATCTAATTGGTTCAACTCAAAATCAGGAGATAGAATTTGAATGAGAGAGAAATGAAAGAAATAAGATAAGACAGATAAGAAAGAAGAGAGGAACAGAGGAGAGAGAAACATTGGAGAGAGGAGGAGAGAGATAAATGTATGAGAGAGAAGAAAGAGAAAGGTAGGAGATGGAAACATGGGAGAGGAGAGAAAAACAATGAGAGAGAGAGAGAGAGAGGGGAGAAGGAAACGTATGAGAAAGAGAGACAAGAGGAGAGAAAAAGAGGAATTAGAGCTGCAACTTGGATTGGCCCGAATTAACACTTTACACTGTTTCAATCTTAAGCCTCAGGCCAGACCCATTTAAAATTTGACCAAAGCCCAACCGGAGTCGCCCAGATTGCACCCCCTAAGAGGACTAGGGAAGAGAAAAAAAAATGTGAGAGAAATTTCGAAGAGGGAGGAGAGAAAAATGTGATGAGAGAGAGAGAGAAAGAGGGTGATATGCATAACTTATTTCATTGACCCAAATAGATACCCCTAAGCCCTAATCCACCCCTATTTTTATTTGACCCAATGGGTCAGTCAACCCATATTCAACCCACGCCTTAAATTAATGGGTTAATGGGTCTAAAATTGTCATCCCTACTATAATTTCATTTAAAAACTATCGTGCTGATATAATTAGAACGATTTAATTAATTAAGCCTTATTTTTTTTTATTTCAAAAAAAACATATATTAAGCCTTATTTTCAAGGTTTTACTAATTTTTTTAGGACAACTGTAGGGTAGTCTCGTGCAAATTATTATAGAGAGGATGGTAGTCTGGGACAGTTCCTTTATTATGTTATAAACATATATCCAGCCTCATTCCCATATTAAGAAGGATTGTTGATTGGAGAAGCGTTTAGTGGTCCCTGCGCTCCTGCTAGAGCCTAGGGGATCTCATGGCTAAAAGAACTCCAATAAAAAAAGTTCTTTCACGAAGTTCCTTAATAACTTTTCCTCAACTTTCTGTTTATCTCTACTTCCCTATCAAACCAAACACAGCTTTAGGGCTATAATATGATCTTGTGAAGAGATAATGATATATGGATAATTGCAGCCTCAGCTACACTTTCTTATGTACAGCTCATAACTTGACTTATCCCAATATAAATATTAGATTGATCTTGACTCCATTTTTTTAAGCAATTTGACAACTCAAAAACTCTACACGAATTTTGAAGGGTCAACAAACATGTATTATAAGGGGTTAGGTTTGTTCAGCTGGGTGAAGTCTGATGTGGGGGCCTTGGAAAGTATGTTGAAACAAGGTCATTTAATTCAACATTTTCATACCCATGTGAGATGAGTGATGACTGTCCATGAGGAATGGCCCATTTCAGTGTAATTCAGGCACAGGATGTAGTTGAAAGAACTAATAATGTTCTTGATATAAGCTCATTAATTTCTGCTTTTTTAGCGCAATCAACTTTTTTGGGTTCAAGAAATGATTTCATTTTCACATGGGTTCCTCACGCCCGCTCATTTCCTTATTAATGATGTAAATGAAATGGTATTGAATGGTGAAGCTTCCACCACATGTTATGTAAATGGATGAGGCCCCATCATGGATCATGGCACCCTCTCTCTCTCTCTCTCTCCAATGTGGCAATCATGTGAAAACCCATATCTTAAAATTCTATTATATGGCTCTGTTTGGATAAATTCTTGCATATGAACTTTGAGCTATAAGAAACCAAAATGAGTGGGAAAGAGTTTTGTAAGAGTTGCTTTTGAAAATATAATAATCCAAAGCTGAAGCTGAAACACTTTTAAGCCCCAAAGCACAAAACCATAAAATTGTAGCTTTGTGCATATGAGCAGAAATCCTTTAAGTTCATCCAAATGCAAAATTATTAACACATGTTCATTACTAACGGTCTACAATCACTTGTTACAACAGGGGATTATGAACTCAGCCTTCTTCAACCATTTACAAACCAGACTATAATCTAATCTCACATAAGCTGGGCATCTGATCATGACTAATGGGGTGTACCCCTTTTAAACAGAACGGATCAAGTCTCAACTGATCAAAATTTCAAAACAGAGTTAATCTACTAAGAACAACCATAGCACCGTATAATATATACAATTATGCATGCTCAGACAATGAAATTCTTCCCTTAGAACATCTCTGCGTGGACATAGTGGGAGGTCAGCAACATCTCTGCCTTCCATCCTCTGTTCACCTTGTCAATGAATTCCTCCACTCTCCTCCTCAGCTCATCATCATCATCTTCTTTTTCTTCTTCTTCCCCATTTTCATCTTCGTCCTCCTCAACACTGTCGTCGACCACCACCGCTGTTGTCTTATCGTTTGACCCTACGGTCACATCCAGAGAAGCTTCAATGTCTTCTGAAGACAACGTTTCACCTCCGACATTCTGCTCTTTCTCAATTTTCTTGGTGAGCGTAGAGGAGGTACCAAGGAAACCTTCTTGATCAGACTGAGAACTGGGCTTTGGAGCGCTTACGAGTAGGAGGACTATGATCAAATTGCAGAAACAGAAGACGATGAGAGAGTTGGACGCGGCCAGAGTGATCAACTCCATCGTAGAAACCAACATGGTTCTTCTGATTTTTCTCAGAAATGCCAGCAGAAAGAAGAGAAGATGCTAATGAAACGCTGGAAACCTGGAAATCCTGCGAGTCTATGAAGGGAGATAGATGATTGTGAGAGGGAGAGGTGTATTATTCCCTTTTAAAGCCGTGTTCTGATCGAGGAATGTGATGTGTGCGTAGGAAGCTATACGTATACTGCTATCGGCTAGAGACAGAGACAGAGACAGAGAGAGGCCATTTGGCCCATATCCGTTTCATGATTTGTGTACTGGGGAAGCTTCTCGCTCCTCGCCAGCACTTTGTGGGCCTGGGCCATATTCGTTTCATGATTAGTGGTCCATGAACATTGCAAATTTGCAATGCAGCCCAGGATAGCCAACGTACCCTCCTTCGTCAGCTCATTGACATCACCTTAGTACAAAAATCAAAAGCAAGGTGAAGAAGCATTGCAGCCAGATTTGCAAGCGTGCAGCTAAGCTGAAAGTGCCCTAATTCTAAAATCTTTCCAAGGATTAGGGAATTTCAGCTCTAATCGAATAGTTTGGGCTCGAATTCGAATAGGTTTGAATCGAATTCTAACCTTGGGGTAATCTCGATTAGTTATTCAAGTTCGAGTTCGACCAATAAAAAGTTTAGCTTGAAAACTTGTGAGTTTAGCTCGATTAACACATACATACATACATACATACATACATACATGTGTGTATATATTATAAAATATATTTTTATATTTTATGTAATATGACAATATATTGCATATTATAAAAAGATCATATATATATAATATAGAAATATAATTATTTTCTAATTTTCGAGTCAAACTCGAACTCATTAAATAGTTAACCAAATTGAGCTCGAACTGGGAAATATAGTTCGAGTTAAACTCGAGCTTGAACTTGAACCTAGTAGTATTTTAGTCAAGCCGAACCAAGATATGCCAAAGTTTGGTTCGATTGCAACCCTACCCAGGACTCACATACAATGGACCCATATAATCGCACCCATGGGTAGGGGTGTCAGTGGACTGATTATGGGTTGGACATCGTTTAAATTAAAATCAATTTAGATGGACAGAACGGACCAATAAGATATATTGAATTGGACTAGTCCAAACTTAATAGTCTAAAATATTCATCGGATTTGATAGGGCCTAATCCATTGTAATGGATTTATATTGGACCAGATCGGATTGGACCAAATCCGATCCCACCCCTACCCATGGGGCCTGTCCCAACAAACTCCAAAAATGTGCTTCAATCCCGTTGTGTTGTGGGAGACCCTTTGTTCTGGACCGACCGACAGGAATAGGATTTAATGGATTATTGGGTTGCTGCATACAACCAAGAACAAACCAACTACAGTGTTTCTTGTCAATCCAAAATTCCAGATTCCAAACTTGTTTTCTAGTAATAGGCATATCAATTGGTAGGCTAGACATCCAACACCATTTAAGATCACGATAAACATTCTCCGTTTAAAACATTTAGAAAGAGAGTGAGATGGTTGTTTGGTGGTTAGAATCATCCAAGTGGCCTGGTGTTTGTCTTAAACAATATTCCAACCAGGGCGGGTTTTATTAAATTGGATAATATCTGGATCAGACGGAATATTCGTTTTTTTCTTTTCATTTTTGGTATTACATAATACACATTACATGGGATGGACACGGGGCAGGATGATGGGTTCTCAAGCCTCAATTTTTGGTGGGATGCGAAACAAGGGTCCATCTCATTCGTAGTTAGAATCGAAATGGATATTTGAATAAAATCCTTCTGAATTGGAATCAGAATGGTTTATTCTTATAGTCTGTTTGGTTTAGATAAAAATTAAAATGACAATTGAAATGGGATTTCATTTCCAAAAGAGGGAAAGAGAATGGTCATTCTCTCAAATGAAAAATGCTATTCCAATAAGAATTAAAACGGGATTTCAATTCAGACCAATCAAACGCCCTACAGAAATAAATAACAGCAGTTTTTTCGAAATGGTAGAAACCAATATGGAAAGGTTCTTAATCTAAAAGCTTATTCTCTTAGTAATACCTCTATGAAGCATGGGCTACTTGGTAAGTCCACAACCTGGCATTAAACTTTAGGGAGCATCATCTTATCCATGCCTTTAGTAGGAGGAGATAGAATATGGATGGCAATTTTCCTCATCCTCCATGGGTGGGATTGCTTTGCCTAGGCGGGGACAGGGACAGGAATTAATAGGGATCCCCAATTGGAGTCAGAGCCAGGGATGGGGAATGAGGTTCCTGCCCCGCCTTGATATTATATATATATGTGTGTGTGTGTGTATAATATTAAATATATATTATTATATATACAATATTATCTATATCAAAATATATTTAAAATATTATTTATATTTTAAACTTTCTATTTATTTTAAATAGATATATTTTTCTAAAAATACTATTAACTAAAAAAATTCAAGGATTCGGGCCCTAGTGGGAAACCCATCCTCATAAGGGATTGGAGATTTATTTTACAATCGGGGTCAAGAACGGAGAATATGATCCCCACCTGAACTCATCCCGTTGCCATTCCTAAGATGAACCCCCCTTGGAGACTCAAGAGCATCATTGAGGACTACTGGAAGATAAAGGACCGCTTCAAGAAAGGTATTGTATATTACCATGTGTTCCTTGAAGCCAACCAAGCGATAGGCTGGCTTACTCATGATGTTTTTTCGAGTGTGCATGGCAATTTAAATTTGAATATCCGGGACCTTCCTTGGCCCCTTGCTTACATTTGTAAAAGTGATTTATGATGGGGACATGCTATCCCCTGTCTTGTGTAGCCCCTTCTGATTTTATAAAAAAAAAAGATATCTGAATTCATTATAAGGGTCGATGAAAAAGAGTTAGGAAACTTAAATGGCTGAACCTAAAACCACAAGCTATTGGTATAGTTTCTTAGGTATCTTGTATGGTCTACAATGTATTACGATCCACAATCCAACCATGGTTTCTTGTGTTATTTATCATACTTTTTTGTTTAATATGACAAATATATAATATTAAAGATGTGTCTAAAATTTTTTATTTTTTTTTATTTATGTAATTTTATCTATTTTCAAATTTTTAGTATTTAATTATGGTATCATGGGTTTACATATTTGATGCAAACAGTATGCCACTTAGAAAAAGTGGCTTCCTTTTAAGTTGATTTTAAAATATGGATTTTATATTATTAATATTAGTGTTTATTGATTTAATTAATGGAATTTAATGATGATAAACAAAAATACCTTAATTATAGGATTAATGAGAGAGAATGTAAGTTAATGCCTTAAATATGAGATTTCATAAGAGAATGGAATGTACTAAAAAGTAATATTCAAATTACAGTTTCTATTTTTACAATAGAGAGGGACCAAATTCAAGAAGATGGGTATTTTAGTAAAGAAAAGTTTCATAAACAATGGGGAGCTCACTTTTTATAGTGTGTATATATATTTTTGATACATTTTTTCCATATAGATAGTATATAGGATAATTTTGGTTAAAACATCAATCATAAACAGTTTACTATTTTCTGTCATAAGTTACTATTATTAAAAATGAAAGTTCCAAGTAATTATTACCATAGGCAATTATAGACATCAAATGTCAAATCCAATTATCCCAATTAATAATGGGTAATTGGTACAGTTGGGGACTAGTCCACCCTACCCAAGGGCGGAGCCAAGATTAAGTATGTGTTTGGTTCATTTTATATTTATTGGATGGGTGTTTCAAGTACAATTCAACACAATAAACGTTTTTTCACTTCATGTTGTTTGGTGGTGTGTTCCAAAAAACATTTAATGTGACACTTTCACTTTGGTGTATAAGATTTATTAGTCAATCCAATAGTCCAAATTACATGTGCTTATATTTAAAGACCGATTTTCAGATCCAACAGTGGATATATGACACTCTCGCTTTAACTCTCTCCCTCTCTCTCTCTCCAATTAACATTCTGGCTATAACATTTCCCTTTGACAAATTTAATATTCATTTCAGGATTCAGATCTTATATATCCCTATAAAATGATAATGAAACTATTACAAGTAAACCTTGCGAACATACGTAGAACAATTTATATAATCATTTTGGATGTTAATTGGGTTGAAACAAGTAAAATTAAAACCAGTCCCAAGTCCAAACTCAATTATAATTGGGACTCAAAGAAAGTGTGTGCCTTGTAGGTCTTGGACTTTGTTAACAAAGGGCAGATATGGCCAATGCATGTTTTGTTCAATGTGTGTGCCTTATAGGGCTTCAGAAGGGTAGAGGAGAAGATGGACCAAGAAAAAGTCACTGGCCGGAATTGGGCCGGTCTGTATTGTTTATATTTAAGAGTTTACATAGAGGCGACTGGTTGCCATGGAAGGAGCCTACTTGGCTGCTCATTGCTGACTTGTAGGACTGAACCTGCAGCCATCTCTAGCAGGGAGATGCGAACAACTCAACTAAGAGGCTGCTTGTAACAGAAGAGTCCATTATGGGAAGCCAGTTTGATTATGTTGAAAACCTAAAAGGCTAAAACGATTTTGGCATGTTTCAGATGGACAGAATACAAGGCAATCAACAATATAGTAGTAACTCAAACAGCAGTTTATCGATTGCAAGGGATTAAAGGCGGATATACCAATCAATGAGCAAAAGAAGCAACGATTGCAATGGATTAATGGCGTATGAAGGACCTTGTTGATGGGTTACAAGGCTGCAAAAACTAGAAGAAAATGTCCCGATTCATCAGAAAAAACCCCTTGCCGGCAGCAAGGCGGGGGATTAATGGGGTGTCAATGGCAAACTTACCAGCGTCAATGGTGTGAAAAGAAAGAACTCCCTGCTCCACCGATCGTCTGCATCATCTAGCTCTGGACCTCTGGTCGTGGTTAGGGCTTCAATTGGTTTTTTTCTTGTGGGATGGTAGACCCGTGATGTACCGGATCAAAAGCCAACTGTGCCCCATCGGATTACACATCAGCGCCACATCACATGCACATTTTGTGAAACGGCTAGCCATTAGGGGAAGTGAGAAATCAATGAAAAACGTTTATCAGCGTTTTTTCAATAAACACTCGTATCAAATAACTTTTTTAAACCCAAAAAACGTTTATTAAACCAAAAGCTGAATTGGCACTAAGGTAGCAGCATTTTTTCAATAAACGTAAACAGAATCAAACACTCTCTAAGTTAGGAGTCCTTGGCCCCCAGACATTTTGTTAAAACCAATATTACTTATATAAGTTAGTGGTTGTCTAAAAAAGGGGTCCTCCGTCCTCCCCMCCCCCCACCCACAAAAACAAAAAAAAAAAAAACAAAACAAAACAAAAAAAGTCCACCATTAAAATGTTAAGGACTGTTCTCTCTAATTCTTTAATGCCCTTCTACTTAACTCCCAAAAATTGAAAAAAGAAAAGAAAAAGGTTTTTTTTCATTAAAAAAAAAACCATAATAGAACCAAACCCTCTACCTTATCTCTCTCCAAAGTTTACCTATTTTACTCCCCATCTCGTTTTCTTGTTTTTGACACTAAAATAGATCATTGGAAAAGTAAATCCATACATTGAGAAATTAAATAGTATTAATGGGAGTTGTGACAAAGACTATAACGAAAAGATATGGCAGCCTTTTCACCCCTCGTATCATATATGCATTGCTAACTTTTGTGTAATAATATTTATGTTGTTTATATTGCAAAATTCTATAATATGATTGACTTAATATAATTTTTTCATTACCAGAACCCCTTCCCCTAAAAAGAGAATTCTTGGCTCCACCATTGACATGTCCCAAATTAGACTCCACCCATTGATATCTCTATACATTTTTGCTTCGCATGTGCACTGTGCACATTCATAGCCCTGCAATGGAAACATCTTCCCATGGAAGATAAAATCAAGTATGGGAGTTCTCAATGCACACTCTTTGATTAGAAAATTTGGATTCAAGAAATACTAAACACTTCGGTTTGCAATAATAGAGGTCTGGGTTCAGAATCGTTCTAACTTTTTAGTTGGGCGGAATCAAAAGTTCATTTTTATTCATGGTGAAATTGGGAATAATGCAGAGCCCATAATCAAGGGAATGTTTGTGACTTGTGGGGCTATGCATGAACTGGCAAACTTGGTTTACAGAGTATGAGATATTGAGTGTAGTGAGAAAGAGGTAGTTCAAAGCTCCAACAACCCATCGAAAAAGATAAGCATCTGAGGAGTGACCCTGATATTTACAAAGTACAACATTGGTCGCAATTGGTTTGATGCCATCAAGGTTAGTCTTCTCAAGGAGATCAGATATATACTTCTTCCGAGATAGAAACAGACCCAACTTGGTTTAAATTGCCTCTACACCTAAGAAATAATGTAGATTGCCTAAGTCCTTTAGAGCAAAGTGAGAACCCATGGAATCAATAATTTGTTGTACATGTGTAGATGTTGAACCACTGATGATAATATCATCAACATACATCAAAATGAAGGTAACGGAGTGATGGGCATGCTTTATAAAGAGAGAGGAGTCAAATATGGAGTTCCAAAATCTAATAAAACAAAGGAATTCACTTAGTTTTTCATGAATGAGATATTGAATATCAATAAAATAAAACCCAGTGGTTGCAATAAAGATCACCATGTAATAATGTGTTTTGAACATTCATTTGATGCAATGACAATCCATTAGAAATAGCAAGAATCAGAAATACCCGTATAGTTATAGGCTTGAGAATGGGATTAAAAGTTTCAATGTAGTCGATAAATACTAATCACGCTTTGTAGCGCTAAATACTTCCATCGGCATGTCTCTTCACACGGAACACCCACTTACAGTCAAGAACATTGGAAGCTTGGGTAAGGAGGCACAAGCTCCCATGATTCATTCCGAAGGAGAGTGTAGATTTGCAAACACTTGTCTATGAGACCGTTCAGCAATGCCATTCTGAGCTTGCATGTGCGGGCAGGATAGGCGACAAAAAATCTCGCAAGATTCAAGATGCCTTCCGATAAAGAGGAGTCATAGCACGGACTGAATGTTTGCAAAGCGAATCTGTATGAGCAATGATGGCAGCAGTAATGTGATCATAGTAAGATGAGAGACCATTAAGTATGTGATGAATGAGTTGAGAATTGCTTAATGGTTCTCCTATAGTGACCGATTTGTCTAACATGGATTTTGTCTCTTGTAGATAAGCTGCCATTGGTTTGTCTCCCTTTTTGAGAAAAGCAAGATCATCTCTCGGAGTTGCAACTCAAGAGGTTGAACGAGGAGAGTGTAGATTTTTGAGAGTACTCCACACTTGGTGATTTGTGGTGGATCCCAAAACTTGGGCGAGAATCAATTCTGTCAAAGATGAAAGTAGCGAACTAAGAATCAAACGATGCCATTTGATCCATGTGTATTTTGGGTTAATATCACTTGACGAAGAAGGCAACAACTTGGTTCGGCACTCATGCAAACCATCAACATACCCGAAGATTTCTTAACTCAATAGAGCATTCTCAAGTAGGGGTGATCATAGGCTAGGTCGGGCCCAATCTAGGTTTAGAACTAATGATAAGTGCTTTACCCTAGACCCCGGCCCAGCTCACACTATGGGGGTATTCTTTTATTGATTTTGAGAGGGGGGAAATCTGGTTAATGAGATTTTGGTTCCCATTGACCAAGAATCTTATATTCTTTTTTCAGATTAATGTGGGGATCAAGGAAAATTTATTTTCCAGATAAGTGATACCCATCTCCTAGGTGGGTAAATAACTTTTCCCCTTGGGGAAATGTTTTCAACACTTGAATGGGACAAAAATGCCCCTTTTAATAATGAATTTTTATGATTAAAATGGTCATTTCCTTTTTTATTTGGGAAATAAAAGAACATGGATAAATACACTTACCTAGGTAAGACTTTTCCAGAAAAACTTACTCAGTTAATTGCATTTATGGCCTATCGATCTAGTTCTCAAGTCCAAGCCTGCTATACAGGCCTAGGCTGGGCTTACAAGCTTTCTAGGCCTAATGAGAAATGAGTTTAGGCATTTGACATCCAATAATAAAAAATTAATTAATTTAATTTTTATTTTAAATTAAATAAAATGTAATATATATAAAAAATATGGCACAAACCCAATTTTCTCAAGGTAAATTGTGCTTGGCTAAACTTTGGACCTGCACACAAAAAAAGGCATGAGCCTCATTTAACTCTTTTAACTTACCTATTTTTTTATAGATAAAGGCAAGACCTCCATTCCCATTCTTGAGCAATGTAGGACCTAAAACAACACTAAATACTTAGAGTGCTATCATTAATTGTTTAATTGTTTTTCCAAGTCCCACCACATTGCTTAGGCCATGTTGTAAGCTTGGCCTAGGAGAAAAATTTACATATTTGATGCTCAAGTATTTACGCATGTTTTAGGCCCAAGTCTGGTCCAAAATTTTCCGAGCTTGATGTGGGCTCGAGCTGAGAAGGGACAAGAATGACCGGCCCTATTTTCGGCCTGAAAATCCTATATCAGGGCAATTCTATGTGAGAGAACCACACCCAGATCTGGTGTCGATTGGAGATTGATTTTACAGGCTCACTTTCTTTTAATAGAGAATAGAAAAACTCAATGCATTTCATTAACAACAGCATTGATATATATATATATATATATATATATATAGGGGCGTGAATTAGAAGTAAGAGTGTCAATTGGACTAAATCTGGTCTAATCCAATTCAGTCTATGAGTCCATTATAAATAGATCAAATTCAATCCAGTTCAATATTTTAGACCATTTTGGACCAGTCTAATTCAATGTCTGGACCATCTAATCTATTCAAATTCATTAGATTAGTTTCAACCCAAACCTGGTGACCAAGTCTAATCCAATCTAATAAATATTTTAGACCAGATATCCAATTCAGTATATATTTTAGAGCAGATTGATCCAATTCAGTATATCTTGTTCATCCATCCAATCCGTCCAAATTGATTTTGGACTGGACGGGGTCCAATCCAAAAACCGGTCCATTGACACCCTTAATTAGAGGTAGTATATATATGCATGTCATAGTCGTGAATTAGAGGTAGGGTGATAGCTATATATAAGGTGAAGTAATAAGCAAGACTTATCACTATTTTATCGATTGGCACTTCCTTTTGTAGAGAATGAGAATCCATTCCGGCCATTTCTAATTTCTAACTCCAGTTTAACCCATTCCGATTCCGATTCTGATTGTTAAGCAAATGGACGCAATGAAATTACCTGATGGTAGGACTTTTTTTATCACCGGAACGAAATATAATGTGGTTTACATAGAAATTCCAACAGAGAACTAAGAGAGATATTAAATTACAAGAGCTTTCAGGAATATTTACAAGATTGGATGACAACATGTATTTGCAAATTACAGAATTGCTATTGCTTTACAAAATGTGTATGAGTATCACAAAATCAACTCTAGGATTTAAATAAAAAATGTCTGTGTGAAAAAGAGATTGAGATTAAAGAAGGTGGGGGCGGGATCTATGAAACTATCATTGGAAACGAGGTTTCAGCCACCGCCTTCTTTGCTTGGTCCGAGGAGCTGCTGGGCTTCAAGCACAAAAAGAAATCACGAGAATCCAAATTTATCAACTTCTCCTTCGGATTTAAACCTGAATGTAAAGAGCTCTGTAAGCGCATGAATCTCCATGCAGAGCAGACTTGTGTGAATCAAGATAGTCAAACCAAGACGCGAAATTGACATTTCTTCGAAGAAACGATCGACGCTATAACTCTTTCTTTGAAAATATAAAGACGAGGAACGGAGAAAAGTATTACAGGGGTTCAAACATAAAAGACGATGATCGAAAACTTTACTCTGAAAGCTGTACTGCGAGTAATGAAGATCGAAATGTCGAGAATCGGTTTCCTTCAAGAGCGGTCTTCTCTTCTCCTTTGTGTAAATATGTATGACGGCTTCTATCAATTCTTCCACAGTGTTATTCGTAGGCAGGATGACCCGAACAACTGCGAAGCTCCCTTGGATAGCAACATTGAGGAGAAACTTCGTCATCCTCTGACCTACGTTCTCCATGGAAACCGGCTTTCCGGCGAAGGAGACAGCACCACCACGTCCGCGACCGCGGAGGAACTCAGGATTGCTTTCTGGCAGTTGCATCCGTGTCAAATCGTCGGAGATCCTCGCAAGATGACCATGGAAGGAATCCGGTTTGGGAACAGAGGCAGAATCTCTGCTTGCTGTCGCTTGAGAACACATAACTGGTTAATGTTGACAGATGAAAAATGAGAGTATCGTCAGAAACTTTTAGGGTTTACCGAGTGAGAGATTGCAGGAGAGGAGAGTAAGAGAGTTCAGATAGAATCCCCTTAGGATTTGCCTTTGCGTTTGGCGGGTCGGTGAAGGTTCAAGGAAAGTAATTTTCCATTTATTAGGACTCCGGATCCACTACACTTTTTACTTAATACTTATTCTTACACCTCCATTGGATCTGCGACAGGTGTCGCATCATTGTGCCCTCTCAGGTATTATTTGCACACGTAGAATAAAAACACTGTAGATGCTTCAAATTATGCCACGTGGCAATAAATGAATACTCTGATACAATGTGCAACGGAACTTCTAGACATACTCATGTATTGTCACGTTGTATAGTCTTGTTGTTGGGTTAGAAACTTTAAAATGGTAAATATCTTGGGATGCATATTTGATATTTGTTGGGTTGTAGCAATACGCCAATACCGTTGGCATCTTATCGTTATTGGGAAACAGTAATTTGTCACGATTCGCCGTTCGTCCATGCGAGTTCAAGGAACAAAGTACGGGTATAAGGTATTGTATTGGATAAATCGAATATGGATATTGCTTTGAAAATGTTTGAATATGAATGAAAAATATAAAAATGCTTGTATATACTAGTAAAATGCATACAAATTATATAAATATATTAATTATATTAAATTAAAAGTGAATTATCTATGAATAAGATATAAATACATGAGAAATGCATACTTCAATAGGTTATATGAAGAGAAATATTACAATAAACAATATTAGAACTCTAGAACATCAAACATTGTACAATAATTATTACTCTTTTAATTTTATAATTATAATTTTCAATTTTTATTAATTTTTGGAAATATTTATTAATTTAGTATTTTATTTAAATAACAATTATTTTTAAATAATAAACATGTTTTCATTTTTAACATATAATGTTTTTATTTTACACATAATTGCAAAATAAAACAAATAAACCATTTAAGGTAGATAAAATAAATTAAATTTAATTTTCAGTTTTTATTAATTTTTTTGGGAAAATTAAATCTTAAATTATTCATTTCAGTTTTAATAATTATAATTTTCTGCTTTCCATTAATTTTGTTGGGAAATTTTATTTATTTAGTATTTTTATATAGTAACTCTTTTTTTCAAATAATAACTATGTTTTCATTTTTAATATATAATATGATTCTGTGTAAAATAAAATATATAAATCATCTAAGGTAGATGAAGTATATCATTTTTATAATTTTTATTTATTATTATTCTTTTGGAAAATTAAATCTTAAATTATTTATTTTAGTTTTCATAATACTGTTTTTTAGCTTTGTATTAAAGATGAAAAACAATCCAAAAGTACTCAATGTACAATTTCATCAAACTAGACACGGATATACCTCTATATCGGTGTGTATCGGACCGCATCCACCGATATGGTGCTATACGGCCCGATATGGAGGCGTATCATACCAATACATGACTCGTAGGATACGTATCCAGTCGTAGCGTATCCTGTATCTATGATCATGGATACGAATACGATACACCCTATATCGGGAGTATCATATCAATACCTTAATCCTTGCTTGTAGGGCTACCAACGGATCAGGTCTGGAGATTGAACATACCCGACAATCAATATTAAGGAACCATAATCGGAACCTGACCTTATAATCTGTAATTTTAGATAGGGATGCAAATGGATCAAGATCGGATTCGAATTAGGGTATATCCAAATTCAATCAGATATTTTACCCAAAAAAAGAATTCAATCAAATAAGAGTCGATCCGACCCAAAGATCTGAAGGATCACATAAGTATGGATTCGAATTCAAATCCGATGAACAAGTTGGATTTTTGGATCTGATCTTATCCGATCTAATTTAAATTTATTAAAAAATAATAACAAAAATATTAAAATATAATAATTTAAAAAATAAAACAAAAAATACAAGTATCTTTTCAACTGTTTTCATCATATATATACATGCTTTTATTAAAAAATTAAAATAACAAATTTACAAAAATAAAATATAAATAATATATTTATAAATAAATAGATAACATATATGTTATAAATAAATAAATATATATATAACACATATATGTCGGATCGAATCTTCTCGAATCAAATAGGGGTGATCTGAATCCAATCCAATTTCTGATCAAATCACATTTTCTTCTCCAATTTGATCTAATGATCCAAACAGGGGGATCCGAATCTGACAAAATAGGAGCATATCTCGAATTGGATTATATATATGTTTGATATGTTATACATTTAATAATATATAGGCATGTCAATGATATTCGAAAATTTGAGGTCCGACTTGACAATTGATTCGATTACCTCGGATTCAGATGATGTATTTATGTAATCGAATTGAATGTCGATTTTGTAATCTACAACCAATTAATAATTGGATCATATATTCGGATTTGCCTCAATCTGATCCAACTAAAATCTGAATCCAATTATGATATTTATTGATTTTAATATATAAAGTTTATAAAATTATATTTAAAATTACAAAAAATATATATTTATATATAGTATTATACATGAATCTCTCTCTATATATATAATAAATTGAGTTGAAAAGTAATTAAATTTTTACTTTTTTTGTAATTAAAAAATTAAGGCGGAATCATATTAAATCCGAATCCAATCCGAGTCCGTTAGGATTCAAAAATTTAGATGCAATCATTCTATAAACGGATATATATATATATATATATATATATATATATATATATATATATATATATATGCTTGGGCCCAACTCAACCTTGGTTTTAGATAAGGATGATAATTTTCCCCATTTTCTTGATTATTATGAAGATTTGCCCTAAATGAGGTAGGAATGAGGATGATTTTCCCCATGGATGGATATGGTAGAGTGCTCTGTCAATATATTTGGATATATTTTGATAAGATTGTAATATGTGATTATTTTATTTTTAATTTTTTTGAATGAAATAGAAATAAAAATAAAATGAATTTAACATTGTAAAAAAAATGGTAAGGAGTGAGGATCCTTACAATGATGGGAATTTCTATGGGGAGGAGGATGGGGAAAACCTTGTCCCCATTGGTGGGGATGGGGATGGGGAGTTTTGCCGTTCCTAAATCTGGGCTTGAAATATAAGCCTATGCTTAGGTGGGGTAAGGCCTAATTCTCGACCTACAACTTTTCTATTACATCTTATATAATATGTGCATATAACTTATTTTATACATTTAAAATAAAACTATATATTGTATAAACTATGACATAAAATAATGTAGGCCTGGACCAAGCCAAGTTGGGCTGTAACTTATCACCCCTAATTGTCATATGGTTATGCAACCTAAGAAAAAAAAGGTATACATATATACCCCATCTATATTATATAAATAAAGCAAAACAGTCTAACTCATCATGTTTCTCTTTTCTACAAACCCCCTTTCCTGCTTCATCCTTAACATTTTCTCTTTCCTCATTCCCCCTTCTTATTCCTTCCATTGAGCCAAGTCACTAGGGGTTTAGCTTATCTTATTTGGCCATGCCATCATTTCTCTCAACTATTCAAATCTTAAAAATCTATGTTCCTAAACTCTCTCTCTCTCTCTCTCTCTCTCTCTCTCTCTATTTATCTATCTATCTATCTATAACCCCCCCACACACGGGTTCACATTTGCACCCCACAAGTGCCCCATAACACATCTCAACCGTATACTAGGAACATCTCCCATACTAACCATTGGGAGATGCTCCCAATACATGGTTGAGATGTGTTGTGGGGCACTTGTGGGACACATATGTGAATTCCACACACACATATACATTCCAAATCACCTAAATTATCTCTTTTCCTAAAATTTCTCATAAACTATCTCCCTCACCTAAAACTTCCTCTTAAAACATCCCTCCCCTTCTTTATACAATGGGATATATTCAAAAGCAACAAAACAAAACAAAAAACTGAATTAGAGACAAAATGAAAACATAAAGACCAGAGAAAAAAAAAACCTAGCTATCCCTTAACAAAACTCTACCCCACCCATCTCCTCGCACAATGTTGAAAAGGTCTTCTAAAGGAAGAGGTTGTTAGTGCTGACCCTCAAAACCTTTATGGGAAAACTAGTCCAATGCTTGATTACCTTCCTTGAATACATGGGAGTGATGGATCTCCATCTCACCCGCCAGCCATTTACAATCTTCAAGAATCACACTACATGTCCAAGGGTGTGCTCCTCTCTTCATCAAATTGTCTATATTACTGACTTTGAGTCACCTTCGATCAAGAATCTTCTTCTTTCAGGTTGAATGGCTAGTTTGTGGATTATCCTTGTGGCAAATAATTCAGCGATTCTAATTGAATTTTTCCTATTGGGCTTGAATAAAAGTTGATAACCTCCCCTTTTGAGTTTCTTGCTATACATCCAATTGCACAAATTCCATTTTTATCTCTTTATGCATCAAAATTTATTTTTATATACTCTTCATTTGGAGGGGGTCCATCTAATCCATACATACCTCTTCATATCTCTTTTGCATTTTACTATTCATCTTGTCTTGATTAGCCTCAAGATTCTCTCTAAATAGGTTCCCAAGCCTTTGAAATATTAGACCTTGGTTACCATCTTTGTTTGAGAATTTTTTTTTTCATTTCTCTATTTCCATAGGCTCCAAAGGGTGAAACTATTTTTTTCCTGACTTGTGAGATGTCCTGAATATTTGAACTTTCCTCTCTCTCCCAAACCATTGCTTGATATTTTTGTCATCATTAAGCTCAACCAAACTTGTTTAGCCATTTGACATTTTATAAAAATATGGTTTCCATCTTACCTCTCTCAACATAAGGGTTGGAAGGAGCAAATTGTGACTTCCTTATTCATTGAAGCTTATGAAAGCAAGATATTGTCCATTCCTTCCGCAAGGGGGGTGGCCAGCTAAGAATGACAAATTTTCTATTAGATCAGCGTACTTTGTGGCAAATAACTTGAGTCATAATTCAATAGTGGTTAGAAAAGAAAATCTTTATCTTAGA